CGCCCCGCCCTGCCGCAGGCCTTCCTTAGCCCTATAGCCGGAGCAGCGCTGCCGAGTGCCTGCCCTGCCTGGCCACAAGCCGGCCGAGCCTGGCTATTAAATGAAAACTGCAGCGTGCCCTGCTGGCCAGAGCGAGCAGGGGCCTGCGGCGACACTCGGGAGGACTCAGCACGCCGCGAGGAAGTCCCCGACCACATGCCCAGTAGCATACATTAAGCACTTTTATTCAACAAAAGCATTTCACCATATGGCATGTTAATGTTAATAGAAAGAAACTTTATTATGTTTTGGTCGTTTTTTAATGCGACTCTGCCAAAACATAATGATGGCACATAATTAACTAAAGTACTAAAATGATTTTTCTCTCCCATTGAATAACCGTTTCCCTTCTACTTTCTTGGCCGCAGCCAGCCCGCCCGCCCGATCCGGCCGACGACGTCCATCAGTGGCCAAAAAAACCTGCCTCCTCACTCTCTGCGAATCAAGGGCGAGCAGGGAAAGGCAAAAGCGCGCGCGAAATATGAACCACGCGCTCGCGTTTGTGCCCGCGGCCCCCCTGCCCGAGCGTTTGTGCGCGTCATGCGAGCGCTTCGGCGAGCGCGCTCGAGAGGGTCTCAAATCTGATCAGACTCGGACCTCTCAGGAGGCGGCCCGGCTGCCCCTCGCCTCGAGCACGGAGCACGGGCGCTGTTCGCAAATCGGCCCTGGGGGAATTCCCTGCAGGACATACCGGGGGAGGACAGGCCAGGGGCCTCGACCGGCGCCCCTCGGACTTCGACCCCGCCCCGTCCACTTCTCTGCTCCTCACGGCACGGCCAGGCCAGCCAGGCAAAGCGCGTTAGTCGAGTAAACGTCACAAACACGTCAGATTTCGGTCAAATTACCTGCCCAATTTACCGGCCCAATTATGCCATTATTTCTCCGACGCCTGTTTCTGGAGTGTATAGTTTCATTACGATTACTTTGTGACAGTCACTTGGCGCACGCCTGGCGTCAAATTCAAGTGAAATTACGCAAATGAAGTTTTATAGAGGGGAAGGGATTCACTTTGCGATGCGCTCGACGGCGCCCGGCGTGGCCTGCGAGGCCCGCGTCTACTACTCGGGAGTGCTCGGCTCGGACCTGGTGCCGGCCCCGCCCCCGCGCCCGCTAACTTTCTGAAAGTCAGACGGCCAGCCGAGCCGGGCCCGCCACCGTGCTCAGGCCGTGCTCAGCGGGACAGTGTGACGCCCTAAATAGCTTTGCATGGACAATGGGCCACGGAGGCTGCTGTGCGGAGCGCGGCGGAGCGTGGCGGGGCTTGGCGTCGGGGACTCTCGGGTGTCCTTGCCGCACTAAGCCGGCCCCAGCCTCTCCGACGGCTGCGAGTCCTTTCTGATACGACTGCACCCTCCCGCCCCGCTACACTCTCTCGAATCAAATGGCACTGGCACTGGCAAAGGCAATGTGCACTGGCAAAAACATGTTTGAAAATGAACTTTATTGTGGTTGGTCAATGAGATGTTGACGAACAACGTTACTGTTATCAGACAATGCGTTGTGATGTCACAATCACCACAACAACACGGTCAGTGAAGAAAATTATAACATTTAAAAGCTAACTTACAGCGTTATTTTTGCAGTGGAGTGAGGGAGTTAGGGCAGATACTCAAATACGAAGTTTTCTAACGGTGTCTCTTGTTTGTTTCCAGGATGACGCCATAGGATGGACGTGGGCGGGCGGCGGGGCTCGGGACTGTCCATGCGCCGCCACCTCAACTATGACCGCGCCGAGCGGGCCGAGCGCGTGGAGCGCGCCGAGCGCGCCGTGGAGCGCGCCGAGCGTGCCGAGCGCGCCGAGCGGGCCGAGCGTGCCGAGCGCGCGGCCGAGCGCGCCGCCGAACGAGCCGCCGAACGAGCGCGCGGGGGCGGCAGCGGGCCGGCGTCGCACCGCGGATACTCGTCCTCGGAGGACGACGACACCGAGGCGGGCGACACCGACCACCGCAGGCTGGCCAACGGCGGGCTCGCGGGCCTCAAGCAGGGCGCGCGGCTGTCGCCGCTCTCGCCGACGCACGCCGTGTACGCCGCGGGGGTGGCCTCCCTGCTCGCAGGATACTCCGGTGAGCAAACATGATGCACATATTAAATTTTACCACAGCTCACTTGTGAAAAATGTTTGTAGGTTTTACGGGAAAATTTACCATAAGAAACCATTTTTAAGACGACTATGAGCAGAAATTGTGGTTTTAAATTTACGCCATCGTTTGCAAATCATAAATTTCAAAGTGTTTCTCAATTAACAAATATATTTTTCGCAAAGATCAAACCAATTCTTGGCCAGCTGGCTGACTTTCTTCAGCCCGCTCTAGGGGAATGCAATATAATTGCATTGTGCAGTAAAGAACGTGAAAAAGAAGGAAGAAAATAAGACCCCCTCCCCCCTTGCGTCGAGCGGACGTGAGCTTTCGCTCGCTCCCGGGCAGTGATTCCTCCGTTTGGAACGAATGGTGGTCATCTCCCGGCCGGTAGTGCGCCCGCCGCGCCCTGCCGTGACGCTGGCGCCCGAGTGAGCCCCTCTCTCGCTTTTACTCTACTAGCTCTCTCTCTCGTTCGCCTTCTCCCCACATCCGGATCCGTATCCATTATTTCTTTTATCGCCCCCACCCCTATCTGGGTACATGTCAGAAAACTATACACATCTCTGTCCTGAGGGTATTTGATGCTACTTACAGCTAGGGTTTTAAGTCCGGTAATTTTACATGTAAAATTGCATGTAATTTACGGTAAAATACCGGGTAATTTTTTTTTTTTTACTTACATCGGTATAATTGAATTAGTTGGTTTCCCGAGGCATAGGTTTGTTTCTACTAATAGAGGTTTAGTCGTTTGTGTTTTAAGGACAAGACATCAACTTTGAAGGAAACATATTTTTATAAATTTTTAGAAAGTCAAAGTAGCTTAACTTAAAACTTAAAATGGCACTAAAACCAAACTAATTACGTGCTGGGGAGAAATACTGGACGTTTTACCTCAGAAACATAACCAAATAAAGACAATAGTACGAAAAATTACCCTGAAAGTAGTAAACAATAATAAAACCAACTTAAATCATCATTTTTAAGCGATTAAACCATTTTTACCAAAATTACCAATTTTACCGTATTTTACCGGTATTTTACCAATCTTACGTAAAGAAAATAAATTACTTACAAATTTAAAACCCTACTTACAGCATCAATCGATGCAAAACTTCCATTAGAGTTGTACTTTCAGCTCGGTTCCACAATTTGTGGTGCTATTTTGTCACTTTTAACTCATCCTGAGCTATGAAACTGAATGAAATGTGTCCTGTAACGTTCCCTTGACGCTGTCCCTGAAGCCCACCCTCAACACTCAATTGCAATTTACTTTTATTTCCTTTGATTAGAAGTGGTCCCATTATTATTTTGGTGCAGCTAACTGTTGTAGCTATTAAAAAACAACCGGGTCAAGTTCTCAAATTCACTTTTTCAGTCATTAAAAAAAGAAATACTTTTGTCCC